GGGTGTAAGAAGAAAAAGGGGAGAGAAAAAACGCGTGACTTGAAGGCTAGAGAACATCTTAATCTAAAGAAGAACAACGAAATGAAAGTCTCAAGCAGTAATACAAAACACATTAATTAGCTGAGTATAATACATAAACATGATTAATATTATAATCCTATTTAAGATTTTACTTATAATCAACAGTGATAAATCCTATCAACACATGCACATACCTCGTGCATAGCAATAAATAGCATTTCACTAGCCAAAAGTGTTGATAGATTGTTTTTTGGGGAGGGGATGCTACTCGTCTCCCTTTTCCACGCCTCTGTATCCATTTGTATTAACTTCAAACATGTTTTATTTTCAATGTCAAACTCTTATCTTATTGGTTATGGGGTTTTGTTTTGTTTTTCAGTTATCTTTTACTTTGAGTCGTTTGAGGATAGATTTATGTTACAAAATATAAAAGTAAAAATAGTAGAGTATTCCAAGTTAGTTCCAGTTGTCGAAGATCATTTTAACATTAGAATCTTTCTTAATAACCATATGATTTGTGATAAACATATACATTTCCGAACTATTTACAGCTTGTGCTTTACGAGGAATCTTGCATTATTCATTGAACACGTGAAGATAATTGTCGGATTTAAACTAATTTCGGTGGATCATTATTTAAAACTCAAATTTAATTTTGCCATTTGGAAATCTGATATTTTCATAATTCAGATTAGTGTGGCTCATTTCAATTATCTTCCAAAGATACCAAACCTCATGAGTATTTTACGGTTTCAGATAGCCGATTAGAACTTACCGAAATACATTTTTCTTTTGCTCAGACACATAGATAATACTAGCATAGAAATCAGAATAACTTACTCCATGGAGTAACTTATAATTTAACACGAATTGTATTTGTATCTGTTTCGAGATTAAATACGCAATATTTGAGTGAAAGGAATGAAACTTTCATTACCTGGTATGTTAAAATTCCAAAGTATCCAAGAATAGTTTGAAATGGGATCAAACAATGTTCGCCAATGGTTGGTGAAAAATCCTAATTACACCACTACTTGTAAGATATATTAAAACAATATTTCCGAACCGGACTGTTTAGAAGTATTTTGTGAAAGTTACAACAGTCTTTCAAAAGAGATATGTTAGGATGTATCAGTATTATGCTCTAAATATCTCAAATACCATAAGAGGATTCTACACAAATTGTTGCATTTTTGGATGGTTGGGATATTATATTTTCCAGCTAAATAGACTGAATTAATAAAAGAAACCTTGACTCATCAGTGTAGGTTATTTTATGAATGGATACCTAAGGTTTTTGTATACTTTGATATAATTATGTATTTGTCAGTCAAATATCTTGTTACTCTAAGAGGCCCTTGGACACCATAATATATTTCATTATTGTTGAGTTGATTAA